TTGCATGAAAATATAAAGGAAAAAATGAAATAAAAGAAAGAAAAATGAAGGTCTTTCGATTGAGGCAGAAGACCCTTCGATTCTGCACTTTCTGGCTCTCTTCGATTTGGGCCTGGAGTCAGTGAAATCATGCCCTTCGATTTGCATTTCTGCCTCCTTCGACTGGGGGATGGCACCAGTGTAGGCGTGTCTTTCGATTGGGGCCTGGAGGCCAGCATGTTGTCCCTTTTGACTGGGCCCGCAGGTTAGTGTGTTTGAAGCAAGTGTGTGTGTTATGAACATGTATGTGTCGAAGCATGTGTGTGCATCGAAGCAGGTGTATCGAAACATGTATGCAACGAACAGGTGTGTATCGAAACACACATTCTTTTCCTTTTTGTTTGAGCATGTCGAAGCCTAAAGGCTTTGTATCAAAGTATGCATATTGTTTACTTCAACATTTTTTAGGGTCTGTACAGATTAGTTCTTAAAGGAAAACACAAAAGATTAACATCCAAGTCCATGATTATTACATGTTGGTCTCGAAGATGAATCAATAAAGATGTTTGAAATGAAAGAGTAAAAGTCAGAAAGACTTACCTTAAAGCTGGTGTGGAGGTTTTTCGAACTTGAACTACTCTCTAGACAGTTATGGAATTCAAAGAGTTGTCACAGGGGGTTTGATTTTGGTTCGAAGAGTTGTCACAAAAGGTTGTCCTTAAGTTTGAACAAACTTCTATATGTGGGGTGTTCTAGATAGTTGATTTATGAGAGTTGGAAAGATGAGATAATGGATTTTGATTTTGTGTTTGTAGGTGAAAGTAGAGTTGATTTTTGAATGAGAAAAAATTACAAAGGTTTTTGTTTTGTTTCCCAGCTCCCTTTTCTCTCCTCTCAGCGTCTCTAGCCCCCTTGATGTTGTAAAGAAGGGTTCATTTATAGAGGAGCTTTAATGTGATTTTAGGGGGAAATCAAATAACATTTGAACTGTTTGGGTGTATTGTCCCCTTGTTTTCTTCGATGCAGCTCTTATGTACCCTTTTTTGTGTAAGTATGGGACTGAGACAATGCAGACTCAACAATATTTTGGAGTGTTGTGACAGGTTGGTGCAGGACTGTTGCATAGCAGTACAAATGGCTTGGGTTTGGCAGTATAGAGGACTTTGGTCAACAAACACCTTGAATACTCCACCCTTTCGTTTTGATCACTTCAACAACAACATCCGTTTCCAACAATGTGTGCTCTTCGAATGGACCCATTATAGGTCCTTCAAATCCACCAATTATAATCCATAGTGTTGAATAGTTTTAGAGGTGTAATCTAATTACGTTGCTTTGAAGGGTTTAATTTCCCAACTTGTAAATCAAAAGAGGCTGCCCAACTTGTAAAACGAAGGGAGCTGCCCAGCTTGTAAATTGAAAGAGGCTGCCCAGCTTGTAAATCGAAGGAAGCTGCCCAGCTTGTAAATCGAAGGAAGCTGCCCAACTTGTAAATCGAAAGAGACTGCCCAACTTGTAAATCGAAAGAGGCTGCCCAACTTGTAAATCGAAAGAGGTTGCCTAGCTTGTAGACCAAAGGGGTTTACTTAGAAGGAAAACATATGGCCAATTTGAAACTTGTTAAATCGAAGCCAACTTGTTTCTTTTTTGACTTAATCGAAAGGCACATTAACATCCTCAAAATTTTATATTTTCTTTATCTCTTTAAACAGGGTTTTGTAATCACCCATGCGAGAGAAGTCTTGAGAAAATGAGAGGGCAAATTTTGGGGTACAACAGATGTGAATTTTGAAGTTGAAATTTCTGAAAAAATTAGGTTTTATTTGGTACCAAACAAAATTCATGTTCATCTTTAATTTATAGCTTTAGTTATTTACATGGTTGAATTCATGGTGAAAAATAGAGCAAGTTTCATGTTTATACTTTTGAAAATGGTTGAGAAATGAGCAAGTTTAGAAATTCAAAAATGTAACAATGGAGATGCTGGCGCGAGGAAGAAGATGAAGTTATAATCAGGACTGAATTTATTTTAAATTTAGTGCAAGTTGCATTACTACCAGATGTAACAGCCACCCCAGTGGCAAAGCACACGCGTATAAGGCATTCCTACGCCTGGTCATGGGTTCGAGCCAGGCGTGGGACATTTTGTTCTTTTCATATTTATTTCATACTAATCAGGTACAAGCAAAGTAAAAGCGCACATTGTGTTCCTCTCCTCTACACCATCTGATCATTAGACAACCAAATTCAACACCCTACAAAGTAAGACCATGATGCACCTTTAAAAGCCAACAATAATGGATCAACCTAGGCGTTGGACTCTCCACTTTGGGCTTGATTTATTTTCTCTGATTTCCAAAAAACCTGTTTGGGCCTAATAAAAAAAACTTTTTCACACCTCTTTTACTTTTTAACACTAGGCCCAATTATTTTTATTTTTCTTATATTTTCTTTATTTTTATTTATCTATTTATTTTTATCTAAACCAAAAATACCAAAAAATATATTTTCTTAATTAAATTAAAAAATATTTTAATTTAAGCATTTTATTTTATTAAATAAGTTTTATTATTTCCTTTACATTGTAAAACGTTTTATTTATTAATATTGACATTCAAATTATTTAGACTTAAGTTTTATTTTCTTCTTAAAATTCAATTAACTTAGACTTTAGACTTTGATTAAATAATTAATTAACTCTTTTTGTAATTAAAATTAATTAGTTTAATTAGATTAATCTTTAAACCTTCTCCACACAAAAAAACCTAAAAAAAGTTTCTTCTTCATCTTTACATCTTGTCCATTATATTATTGTTCATATTCAATGGTTTGTAATAGATAATTAGGGCTTTATTGCTTTCTTCCCCCTATTCACAAACTTGTACCCCCATTTCCAAAGTATTGTAATAGCGTAGGATATTTAAATTACGCAATTTATCGCTTTCCTTATTATTGTTAGTAATTAGGGTTTGTATGTCAAGACTTAAAATCAACCATAGCAAAAACCCTAATTCAAGACAAAATACATGAAAACAAAACACTTTGCACACATGCACCTCTAGGGTAACCCACACTTGTTACCTCAAATGTAAACAGTCATATCCCTCGAATGTGGGATGTTTTAGCAAAAGACTCTCGATTATAAGATCGTAGCCCCTTGATGACCCTTCAAATGTTGCCTTCGGTAAATGATCTTAGTCCCTTACGACAATTGTTGAAACATCTTACAAGTTGCATTCTATGATTGTACGAAGACCCACATCTGTCCCTCACATCCAATGATATGGCTCTCAACCAAATAATGATAGACAAACACTATCTAAAGGAGTAGGAAAATAACAAAGACTTTTTGAGTATGTAGATTGCTCGTAATTGCTTGTTCACAAACTAAAATAATTTCCACACCTCACACTTTCAAAAACAAACATCTTTCCAAACACTCCCTTTTAACATATATTTTCAAAACAAAACATTTTGTATACATTCTCAATGATACGAGAATCATTGTAAAATTGCCGCACTAAGGCATTTTCAAAATATTTCCAAAAATAAACATTTTGTATACATTCTCATTGATAGGAGAACCATTGCAAAATTACCACCTTTAAAACATCTTCGAAAACATCTTTCAACATACACAAACACAAAACATTTTTAAAGTGATCAAGCAATTAAGAGCATGTAGATAACTACAGATGAAAAGGGTGCTAACACCTTCCCTTTTCATAACCTACCCCCTGAACTCAAGAAAAATTCTCAAAAGGTCTTTCTTGTTCTTTTCACCCTTTCCTTTATTGGATAAAAGAAAAGTCAATGACAACTCTTGTTATCCGCCACATTTGCGATAAAATGCAAAATAATCAAGTCAATTCTCCCACTGTATTACAGCGACTAGCGATGCCCGATACACGCGCCTGACCCAGTAAGCAGTTATCTCCCCGTCAGCCCGACACGAGTCGAGTAGACAATCAGGAAACGACCAGAACGCCTCTCTTCCCGTAATTCGTCTCCTCCTCAGATCCAACGATTAATTACGGGCACACCTGACCGTTTTGTTCGAGTCTTAGAAGTTACCTATTTTTGCGAATCCGCATATCTAAGCTCAAAAATAGGAACCAATGGCTAAGGCCGGTGGCATTATATAAACCCTCACGCATGTGAGGGTCAGATACCCAATATTCAAATCTCAAACCCTAATATTTCACTTGTATCTCTTTGCACCCATTCTTACTTGATCGTCGAAGTGTCTTGCAGGTACAACCCACATTTCTCCTCAACTTTCCAACAAGTCAGATATCATCCTTCGACCTATTTTCAGATTCTGATCAATCGATAAGATCAAGTTTTATTTTGATTAAAACATTCTCTAATGGTCTTGCCATGTTTCTGTTATATAAAAAGCAATGAAACACAAAAGATGTTATATGAAAAAGAAGACAGATAATATGAAACACATATGGTCGTGCCATTGCACGCATGCAGAAATCTGAAATTTCTGCAATAAAATTGCAAAACAGGAAATCAAATATGAATTTTATACTATGTTGAGAAGAAAATATTTTCAAAAACTTAAAGAAAAGACAAATAAAAAACTACTGTAGATTTGTGATGTATGAATTATTTGATTAGAGTTTTTTATAAGATAGAAGAAGAAAGGATATGAATGCATGGACAATCACATATATTTAAAATCATTTGCATTTGTGACTAAATTTAAAAGGTTGAACATCGTAAATATCAATAATTTGAATATGCCTACTAAATATTTATTAATTTTAGACTTTATGAATACCAAACATGTGAAACAAAACTGAAATAATTATTGAAAAAAATCAAAATGGATAATTTTGACTATTCCAAAAAAATACTATTGTAGATATTAAAAAAAAAATTCAAATATTTTTGTTACTTATTTAACGGAAAATAAACTCCATCTTCAATAGGAAAAAAAAACACAACGATAAGACACTTCACACTCGTCAGAGTAAAACCAAAACCATTTTCCATTTCCATTCAATCAAATGTGGCGAAGGAGCTTCACCACCACCAGCGCTGCCGCAATAAAGGACAAAAAATGGGACGCATTGATCATCGGCGGCGGTCATAACGGCCTCACAGCAGCAGCTTACCTCGCACGTGGCGGCCTCTCAGTTGCCGTCCTCGAGCGGCGCCACATTATCGGAGGCGCCGCCGTAACCGAGGAGCTAATTCCAGGTTTCAAGTTTTCCCGTTGCAGTTACCTCCAAAGCCTTCTCCGGCCGGCAGTTATCAATGAACTCGATTTGGCAAAGCACGGACTGAAGCTTCTGAAGAGAAATCCTTCGTCGTTTACGCCTTGTCTCGATGGACGCTACCTTCTCTTAGGACCTGATAAGGATCTCAATCACTCTCAGATTTCCAAATTCTCACAAGCTGATGCAGAAGCATATCCATTGTCTCTTTTTCTTTTCTCTATTTTCTGCTATTTTTGTGAATTTTAATGGTACTGAATTGGGAAACGAGACACAGACACTAGTACTGACACTTTCATATCCGTAATGATTTGAAAAAAAAATTAAACTTAATCATAAGAGTCGTTTCGGAGACACTAACACTAACACAACCTTTTTCTGAGAGATTGATACTAAAGAGATTTTAATTCTTATGTATTTTCACTTTTATGTTCCTTTTCATTTTCATTGTTCTTAATTCTTTGATTTCATTGCTCAGATATGAGAGTCAGCTTGAGAAATTCTGTAAATTCATGGATCTGGTTCTGGATTCGTCTCCACCCGAGTCTTTACAACGTAAATCATCTCTTAATGAGCAACTGAAGAGTAAATTACAGAATTCAGTATTTTGGGCCACTTGTTTGCGGCATGCAGCCTCCATGGGACAAAAAGATATGGTGTAAGAGTACCCACATCCATTGACTTTAAATGGACTCTAAGGCTATGTTTGAGTGTTTGGAGGGGAAGGGAAGGGAGGGGAAGGGAAGGGAGGGGAGGGGAGTGCTTTGAAAAATAGGAATGATTTGGTGGAAAGAATAGAAAGATTTGGTCTGGGAGAGTTTTGGAGGGTTTGTTTTTCTTCATAACACCAAAAGCCTTATAATTTGGGGAACTCAAAAATTGTATTGGAAGAGGGTTTTGGGGGGTTTTGGAAGACTAAATCAATTTGCTCAAATATAATTTTTGTTGTTATATTATTTCAAAAACTAAAAATACATTAAAATGATAAACATTATTTTATCATTCTAAACAAAATCTTTTTTTCAAAAAATCTTAAAAATTTCTTTATTATTTAAAAAAAAATCATTTTTGAAAGCCCTCCCTACCCCTCCCTCCAAACTCCCAAACATAGCTTAATATATTTTATCTATTTCACATTTTTCAATTATTTAAACACTCGTCTAAATTATTTATCACAAACTTTAAAATGGGTTCCATTGAAATCATATCTCACAAATTGAAATATATATATATACATTTTTTATGCAACTAAGATGTTTGTTTCTCTGTTAGGAATTTCAAATTTGTTCTTATAAGAAGTTAATTGGTATTGCTGTTAATACTTATTCCGAAGCAGTAACTTGTAATTTAAAATTATGAACTCAGCAACAATCTACATTTTATCTGTTTTTGTTTTTATTTGGCAGGGAATTTATGGACCTTCTGTTGTCCCCAGCTTCTAAAGTTTTGAATAACTGGTTTGAGGTAACTTCTAAAGTGAGCTACTGGTACTAGTTATGCGTTTTAAAATAGAACATATATCTTCTAAATTTTCTGTGGTTGAACTAAAGTTTATCCGAATCATAATATTGGGCTACCCATTAGATAGTCCTGAAAGCAGGGTTTAGGGTTTAGGTGGGGCTTGTTGAGATCATGTTGGCTAGATTTACGGGTAAAAGTACCCTTTATAATGACTTGAAGTAGCAGTTGCAGTTTAGTATGACCATTTTGTTCAAGACTCTAATACATTGTTGATCATTCTATAACTTTCTACTACATTTGCTTGGAGGTGAATTGTTTAGTTTTGTTTGACATTATTTTTTGCAGACAGATGTTCTGAAGGCAACACTTGGAACAGATGCTGTGATAGGATCTACTGTAAGAGCAGTTTTCTCTAGTGTACAAATGCATCATAATTTTTTTGCTTCAGAATTCAATATGCATGAATTTCTTCATCCTTCTTTGTATAAGTGAGCGTTTGTCCGATAATAGTACTATCATCCTACTCAACAACAAAGACAACAACTAAGCATTATTCACTAAGTTGGGTTGCCTACATGGATCAAGTTACGCCATAATGTTCTATCATAGACATTATGGTGTAATTTGATCCATGTAACCGATCTCACTTATAAGATAAAACTTGGTTGTTGTTGTTGATGCCAAATAGAATGATACTACTAATAAAATTGAATCAACAACGTTTCATCTTTCATAGCACACATATATAGTATTTTTATATATAATGCAGGCCAGTGTCCACACCCCGGGAAGTGGTTATGTTCTGCTACATCATGTAATGGGAGAAACTGATGGAGAGCATGGAGTTTGGTCGTATGTATCTTTGCTGCTAGGTTGATATTTATAATGTGCATAATGAGAATGGAATAATGTAATTTGGCAAATACGTACATTTTCGTATGCTACCGTAATTTGAAATAAAATTTTAAAGTACTTTTAAGTCCATGTTACATCAATATTGATTCTGGAAATTGAAGCACTGACATCGGTGTATGGCAACCTCACAAAAGACAAGGTAACACATTAATGGCAAATGAACTCATTTGGTTTTAGAAGGTATAAAAGGCGGGACATAATATTTCCATTATTTTTTGAACAATTTTATTCTTGAAAAGCACCGCGTCTTCACCTCTTAAAAGCTTTTGCACTGTTACAGTTGTACTTCTTCATTTTTGAATGAAATTTTCCTTCACCTACACTACTTCTGTCCGTTTCTTTTGTACATGTATTGTACAAAGAAAATCATACAATGCATTACCTGTAAACATTGCATGCATATAACCACGAGCGGGCAAATCCATTCATTTTTTTGAAAAATAATGTCACTGACATTTCTATTTAAATAGAATATTTTAAAATAACTTCTGACCAATGATTTCTAAATTTATAGTTTAGGGATTTAACAATTAACTAGCTATCCTTTGACTATAGCTTTATATTATACTATTCATTCAAAGTAAATCAACTTGATTCAGAGCATGCCATTGTTCCATGTAGATATGTTGAAGGTGGAATGGGTTCAATATCCAAGGCCATTGCTGGTGCTGCTGTCACAGCTGGAGCACATGTTGTGACGAATGTTGAGGTATGCCATCAAGATTCTCTATTAGTTTTCAAATTTACTCCCAAGTCCCAAAAAGGCAGCTCAGTTGGTGAGCTGAAGGACACCGAAAGAGTACTAACCAAAAGGTTGAGAGTTCAAACTCTGAGAACTAACAACTCGCTAATTTACTAATAAACTAGTGTCTGCCTTAAAAAAAACAGTCACATTCTGGGTAGTCTCTGATATTTTAGTAGTTTGGATCTTAACCTCAACCAGAAAATAGTAAAAGATATGTCAAGAGTAGTCCAACTAATAAACAAAATTTTACAGCGATATTTTATGAATATCGACACCATGGATGGTCATTGTGAAACTTGGATATAAATGGTTTGTTATTATTTAGACATGATCATAAAAAGGACACGACATTTATTCCCTGCAGCCGAGCCCACCTACTGTCCAAAGGTAGATTGGATCTTAACCTCAACTAGAAAATAGTATAAGTTATTTCAAGGGTAGTTGATTATTGGAAAGACTTGATTTCCTAATTAGATTTCTTCCTAACCAAATAATGAAAAGAAAAAAAACTTGCATTATCGTATAAATAGTAGTAATAATTTTAGTTCATAAAAAACAAAAGAGGGCTAAGACAATAAATGTTTCTTCTCTTCTATGACTTCCCTCCCCCCCACACCCTTTTTTGTTATGTTTTCTGCTGAGGCTCTAACCACTTGTGATAACTTTGTATTCTTATAGGTGTCTCAATTGTTGATTAAAAACTCTAGCACTGTCGATGGGGTTAGTGTTGTTTAATTTTACTCAACCAATTGGGTTTTTTAAAGTGAAGCATTGCAATTAAAATTTGGAGAGATGGCTTACATATAGGTGATTCTGGCTGATGGTACCGAAGTGCATGCTTCAGTTGTTCTGTCTAATGCAACACCTTATAAAACTTTCATGGTAAAATTCTCAAACTAGCTGTAAATAGAAATTTCCATGGCACCTGTATTTTGTTCTAATTTATAGCATGTTATCACGAACCAGGAATTAGTGCCCAACAATGTCCTCCCAGATGATTATTTCCGGGCAATTAAGCACTCTGACTACAGCTCTGTAAGTTAATTTACTCATTTTTTCCTCCGTTTGTTTTGTTCCTTTTCTAATACCCTCAACCTCTACGCGGTGTCACTTAATTAAAAGCAATAGGTAAGATTATAATATATAGACAGTGCTTATATTTCACTGTCTGCTAATGAGGAAGAATGTCGAGAAATCATCCATTGGAAAATAACTTCTCCACAATAAACTTCAAATATCAAACAGATGAGAAACCTGGAGCAATGATGGCAAAAACAAGAAGCCTGTGCTGGTATAGGTGTAATTTACAAACAACACAAACCTCTAAATATTTTCATCTTTTGGCTGACTACTTATTGATGAAATATGATTGAGTTCGATGCTTGTCATTGACATTTGTCTTCTGTTTTCCCATTAACAGTTTTGCTAAATTTTTGGAAACTGGGACATAATTTGAGAACATTTCATTTTCCCCCATTAATTGGTTAATATCTTGTAAAACAGGCCACTACAAAAATAAATGTAGCAGTTGATAAATTGCCTCAATTTCAGTGTTGCAAATCAAATCATTCTCATGTTGGCCCCGAGCATGTTGGCACTATTCATATAGGTTCAGAGAGGTATGCCCACTGGATTCATACTATCTAATTGTCAGAACATTTTTTATAGCATTGTTCTATATGGGCAGTTGCAGCTTGTTTATTTTCCGAACATGTCAGTTTTTCTTTGCCATTGACTAATTATTTATATTTAGCATGGAGGAGATTCATTCTGCATCTCATGATGCGGTGAATGGAATACCATCAAGAAGACCGATTATTGAGATGACAATTCCTTCCGTATTAGACAAAACTATATCTCCGCCAGGTACTTGAAACTTCACATATAAGAATGTCCTGATATGTTCTGTTTGAGAGGGAATGTAGTTACTTTGCTTTCAATGCATTTGCAACATTTGCTCTGATTTATCGTTTGACATTGTTGAAACGGTTTTATTTTATCTTCCAAGTTCCATTAAATTTCATTAGGAGAATGGTAACGAATATCTTTGGGGCATTGGTTAAGCAATAAAAAGAGGCAAGTTTGTATACGAAAATGTTGTATTTATTATATTGACACAAGTGTTTGACTTGTACTCTCAAGACAATGTTTTCTTATATGAATTTCTTAACCAATGCCCTTAAAGCACTCCTTAGCAAGACCCGTTTACATCAACTAACAACTTGGCTTCCTTTTCATCACTCACCTCGTTAATCTATTTGTCAGTGGCCCTTCATGATCTTTGACATATGTTTATAGCATCTAGTTGATGAAATTTATTTTCTTCATAGGTATGCATGTGATAAACCTGTTTGTGCAGTATACACCCTTCAAACCATTGGATGGGGACTGGCAAGATCATGACTACAGAGTAAGCTTGTTTTGGATGTACTAGCTGCATTACTTTTTCTTCTGTTATGCATATTTCAGTGTCCAAATTTGATTTGTTCTTCCTTGATCATGCATTATGTTTGCACGTGTATGCTTGATGCTCAAACTACTTGAATGTTTTATATTAAAGGTGCTCCATTTTATCTCATCTACCCTCATGCTCAGGAATCATTTGCACAAAAATGCTTCACATTGATTGATGAATATGCACCTGGTTTCAGCACATCAGTCATTGGTTATGACATGCTGACTCCACCAGATCTTGAAAGAGACTTCGGTTTGACAGGTAACAAAGCCATTCCCTCAGTATGAGTTGATGTTCGTCTAGAAAACACCGGTGCATTGTCAGTTCGTCACTAGTGACAATTGATCGGTTTCTTTGACAGGAGGGAATATATTTCATGGTGCTATGGGTTTGGATTCTCTTTTCCTCATGCGACCTGTAAAAGGATGGTAAAATAAATTGAAGCGACTTGTGTTGGAATCTGTTTCCATTTTTAGCATATATGATATAGTTGATAATTTGTTTTGTTTTGTTTATTGATTTGGGACTCTAGGTCAAACTATAAAACACCACTTAAAGGTTTATACTTATGTGGAAGTGGCGCACACCCCGGCGGTGGGGTTATGGGAGCACCTGGACGCAATGCTGCCCATTTAGTTCTTCAGGATGTCAGAAAAACATGATTAGTAATTTTAGCTCTTAGCCCAAGTTGTTGATGCATACAGATGGATGTCTTTCAGCTGAATTTATATTTATACGCCAGAGCTATCTCACAAGATACTTTTGCATTGAATTGGATAGAAGGATCACAAAATCGATATACCAAATTATATTACTCTCTGTTCCACAATAAGTGATCAGTGTCTCAAAATAAATTTCAATTTACAATGCAAATTAATTATTTGTTTTCAATTGTACCATTTAATCATTACTATTTTCGTCACTTTCATTGTCTCTTTCATTTATATATATTTTTTATTATGTGTGAAATAATCAACGGAGTCACTTATTGTGGAATTAAGAGAGTAACAATTAACAATTGCTGACATTTACGGTTGACATTGTAATTTAGAAAACTTGAACTTCTAATATTTTAAACAAGCTGGCAATTGTGCCATGCATTGATTCCAGTAATTACTGTATGATATTATTAAAATTGACTGTAATGAGTGAGGAGAGAGAGCTCTTTCTATTTCACGAACGTCTCGTAAAGAAAATTAAATCTTGTAAGGAGAGATGAATCTGTTTGGAGCTCTTAAGCGAAATGAACACGACACGAAATTTGGCTTTGTTCGATTTTATAGGGTGAAGTAGATAGGAGTGGCAAAACGGGTTGTGGTCCGTCGAGCTGATTTGCACACCGTTAAAAATTGACGGGTTCGGTTGGAATTTTAGATTCGTTGTCCACTAAAGTCTATCCTGCTAAAAACCGCCGTCCGCGAAAGTTTACCGTGCTTATTTGTTCAGCTTGTCTCACCTTAAATCCGTCATTTTTAGTTAATTCTGGTATGTCTAATTTTTTATGCTTTTATTTTATATATTTATTTATGAATATATTTAATTTATTTAAATTTTTTTTTAAAAAAATATTTTATAAAAAAATGTTCTAAAAAGTAAGTGAAAAATCTAGGCGGGGAGAGGGACATGACGGACGACCCGTTTTGTCATTCTTAAAAGTAGGAGTGTTTAAAAATATGATTAATTGAATTGTACACTAAAACTGAACTGTATTGTCTTATAAAAAAATGAATCATTTAAATAGTTAATAAATTGAATCATTTAATTTAAACAATTCAAATTCAGTTTAAAATCGATTCAGAACTAATTTTTTTATAAACTGATTTAATTATATAAATAAGTTTTTCATAAAAAGAAAAAATTAATCAAGAGTAAAAAAATTCTGAAAACAAAATTTTAAAAATTAAAAGAAAATTCCAAAAATAATTTTTTTATTTTTAAATAAAAGAAGAGAACACATATCTTCTCCTTCAATTTTAAAAACTTTATCAATGGTGATATTTCACATATTTTAAATTTTTATTTTAATTAAAAAATGTTTTATGAAACTAGAAAAACAAACCCAATATTAAAGGGGTAATTTAGTATTTGGAATATTCTCCCTTAAGGTCTATGTGACATTCTTATATTTGCTATCTTTGTGTATAAATAGGTGTACTAGGTTTCATTAATTAATTCAATTCCTTACCAATCATTTGTAGCAGCTTTTTATCATTCATCATTTTTCTCTCTTCTTTCTCAATTTCATCACCTTGCACCAACAAATTGGTATCTAGAGCACCTAGTTCTTCTGAAATTCTGGGAAACACAAGTGAAAGTGAGTTGTGTGTTTGATTTTGGTTCTTGATTTCTGTTGAATCTTAAACAAAATCTGAACAGAATTACACTGATTTTGTGGGTTTGGGAAACACTGAGTGAGATATGAGATTTGTGCAAGGTTTAAGATGAGTGGAGGCAGTAGTTTGAACACCAAACTTCCAATTTTTTATGGCAAAAGCTGGAACAAATGGATGATATAGATGCGTGTGTTGTTTGGTGCTCAAGATGTTCTGGATCTTGTTACGAATGGTTATGTTCCAGTTGCAGCAGATGCTACTGAAGAACAAAGATCTGCAGAAAGAGCTACGAGGAAGAGGGATCAGAAAACTTTGTTCTATATCCATCAGTGTGTGGATGAAAGTGTGTTTGAGAAAATTGTCGATTCGACGACGTCGAAAGAGGCATGGGATATACTGGTCAGATGTTACGGTGGTGAGGCGTCAGTGAAGAAGGTGAAACTTCAGTCCCTGCGAAAGCAATATGAGAATCTCAACATGAAGAACAATGAGAAAGTTTCTGAGTACATCTTCAGAATGATTCTGATCACTAATGAGATGAAAGTTTGTGGAGAAACACTTTTTGAACAGGTAATCATAAAGAAGATTTTGAGGTCACTTACTCCACAGTTTGATTACATTGTTGTTTCTATTGAATATTCTAAAAATTTGGAAATCATGAGAATAAAAGAGTTGCAAAGCAGTCTAGAAGCGTATGAGTTGCGTCTGACTGAAAGAACTTCTGAGAGGGAAGTTGAGCAAGCTCTGAAGGCTTCTTTTGTCAAGAAGGACCAGAAGCAAAACAGACGTAGTGATAAATTCTAGAAGTTAGAAATCTCAACTTCTGATGAAAAGAAATATCAGAAGGGAAAGGAAAGGTATAACAAGAAGAAGGTCCAATGTTACTGTTGTAAACAGTTTGACCATTTTTCCAGAGCTTGTAGAAACAGAGGAAGGAAATAAGAAGAAGAAAATATAGCCAGAGGATATTCTGATGATGAACCAGTGCTACTGATGGCTTCTGATTCTGATGGAAAGTGTTTAGAAGATTGGTGGTATATGGACACTGGCTGTTCAAACCACTTGACTGGAAACAAACAATGGTTGATAGACTTTGACTCCAAAAGGAGAACAAGGATCAGATGTGCTGATGATAAGTATCTTAATGCAGAAGGTATGGGAAATGTCAGAGTCAGAGTAAAGAATGGAAAAAACATTCTGATCAAAGATGTTTGGTATGTTCCTATAATTAAAAGCAATCTGATGAGCGTGGGTCAACTCATTGAGAAAGGTTTCTCAGTTGTTATGAAAGACACCCTCTTGACATTATATTATTCCAATCAGAAGTTAATTATGAACTCTGAGCAGGAAAGCAATAGAACATTTAAGGTGAATGTAGAAACAACTGAAGCAGAGTGTCTTAGTGCAGAAGGCTCTGAAGGTGACAGTAAGTTGTGGCACAAGAGGTTGGGACACTTGAACTATAGAAGCTTAGGGCATCTAAGTTCTAAGAGGCTTGTACATGGAATTTCGAAGACTGTGAAGCCTGAGAAGTCATGTGAGATATGCATGAAAGGCAAGCAACCCAGATTGCAATTTACATCAGAAGTAGCCCCCAGAGCGAAGCATGCTTTAGGAGTAGTATATTCTGATGTGTGTGGACCATTTCCAGTATATTCACTTGGAGAAAACAAATATTTTGTGTTTTTTATAGATGAGTTCACAAGAATGACATGGGTAACACTCATCAAGTTCAAACATGAAGTGTTTACTGAGTTTCAGAAGTTCAAGGTGAAGACTGAGAAGTAGAGTGGTCAGAAGTTGAAGATTCTGAGAACTGATGGTGGAGATGAGTATAACTCTATAGAGTTCCAAAAGTTCTGTGGAGAGAATGGAATAGAACATGATGTTACTGCTCCAGATACTCCTCAACACAATGGTCTTGCTGAAAGAAGAACCAGAACTTTGCTTGATAATACCAGAAGTATGCTGAAAGAGAAGAAGCTACCTCACATATTATGGGGAGAAGTTGTTGCTACATCAGCATATGTTCTGAATAGGTGTCCAACAAAAAATCTGAAGGAAATTGTTCCTTTAGAAAAGTGGACTGGAGATAAGCAAAGTGTTAGCCATCTGAGGGTGTTTGGTTTTGTATGTTACAAACACCTTCCAGAAGCTAGAAGACGGAAACTGGATGATAAAAGCAAAGTAATGTTACTGGTGGGATACCACAGTACAGGTGCCTATAAGCTTTATTATTCAGAAACTAATAAAGTTGAAATCAGCAGAGACGTTATTGTGAAAGAGTCAGAAACATGGGATTGGAACAAGCCTCAATCAGATTCTGGTGTAGCGCCAACACCAGAGTTAATTTCTGAAGATTCTTCAGAAAGTTCTGAAGATGAGTCAGAGTCAGAAGATGAATTTGATTCTGGAGACTTTAAAGATGAGTCAGAATCTCAGGGAGATTCTGATAGTGGATCTGATTCTGATCCAGATTTTGATGATGATCCAGAATCTGATGGTGATTATATTTCTGAAAGGGAAAACTCTGAAGACATAAAGTCTGGAGGATAGGCTTCCAGAAGTAACTCTGAAGGTGGTAATTCTGAAGTAAGTAGTTCTGGACAAGGTCCAGAAGTTAGCACTGTTCCAAGTTCTAGAGAAGCTTCGGAACAAGTTTAGAGGCCACAGAGAATCCGACAAATACCAAGTAGGTTTGCAGATTTTAGCATGTTGCATGACACTGAAGTAGATTCTGAAGGAGAAGTCGTTCAATGTGCCATGTTAGTAGGTTCTGAACCATTGGGTATTGAAGAAGCTCTCAAGAAGAAAACATGTTTGAAAGCCATGAAGGAAGAACTTGAGGCTATTGAAAGAAACAAAACTTGGAAGTTGACAAAGCTTCCAGAAAAGAAGAAAGTCATCAGCGTCAGATGGGTTTTCAAGATGAAGCTTAAGCCAGATGGATCAATTGGCAAACACAAAGCGATACTAGTGGCTAGAGGTTTTCTTCAGAAACCTGGACTAGATTACTTTAAGGTGTTTGCACCTGTAGCTAGACATGAAACAATCAGACTGGTGATTGCTTTAGCTGCAAATATAAATTGGCCTTTGATACATCTGGATGTGAAGTCTGCATTTCTGAATGGTCCGTTACAAGAAGAGGTATATGTGTCACAACCTCCTGAATTTGTAAAAAAGAATCAGGAAGGGGTGGTATACAAGTTACATAAAGCCTTGTATGGACTGAAACAAGCGCCCAGAGCTTGGAATCTGAAAATTGATTCGTTTTTCAAGAGGCATAAGTTTCAGAAATGTGAGATGGAATATGGCGTGTATGTGCAACA